ATGTGTAGATTTTAAAATATCAGAAGGAGGGACTAGAGAGATGCCTCATCAGGTAGGAATAATGGCTGCTCTTCCAGGACCTGTTCCCAGCACCCACACGGCAGCTCACAGCCACCTGTAACTCAAGTTTCAGGGGATCCAAAGCATTCTTCTGGCTCTGCCGGCTCCAGTCACTGTCATGGTACAGGTGTATACAGGCATGCAGGCAAAACATGAATACACATAAAATAAAGACAGTTTTCAAAAAGATTGATATTTTTAAGAAGAAATGCTAATAGTGAGAGGGTGAACTATAAGGGTGTTATTTTCCTGTTTTTCTTATTTATCTGTCTGTGCATACATGTGTGTGCATGGGCATGTGTGTGCCCTGAGGTGCACATGTGACATGTTCCTCTTGTTAGCTTAGAGGAGAATTCTTCAGGAGTTGGTCCTCTCCTGGCACACTGTTTTGAGGCAGTGTCTCTTTTCTTCCTATTGCTGTTCTGATGGCATCCAGCTTTGTATGTGGGTTCCTGGGGTTGAACTCAGGTCACCGGGCCTGTGCATTATAGCACCTTTGCTCACTAAGCTAGCTTCTTGGGTCTAGCTATGGTAACCAAGGCTGGTCTTGAACTCCTGATCCTCTTGCCTCTGCCTCCCAAGTGCTGAGATCATAGGTATGGGCCACCATGACTGATGAATTCCTGTTACTTTTATTTTTTTATCAAAATTTTATTATAAGAACTTTGCAAATGAAAACTTTTTCGTTAGCTAAAGTTTCTATGGCAGCAGGGGGTCCTGAGGAGGGAGAGAACAATGTACCATTTTTCTGATTTCAGGTAACAAGTGGCAGCCTCATTTGGGAGTTGAAGTTAGGAGCTCACACGATTCCTCCTTGCACATTTGTAGTAATTTGCTTGTTTGTTTGTTTTAATTTGCTGTGTCAAGTGTCTCTTATTTCTCTTCTAAATATGATGTGACCAGGCACATTGCTATGGCTGGATTGTTTTATGTTAGGCAAGAGTGAGTCTTGCTTACAATTCTGTGTGACATTTGTGTCCTTAAATTAAGTTTCATCTTGAGAACACGGTTTCTTCCTGTTGGGAACAGGAATGACTTCACTTTGTAGCTTTGATGAACCGAAAAGTAAGTTTTCCTGCCTTAATGGTTAATTTAGCTTTTGTTCTTTATTCAACACATAAGAAGGGATGCATCCCAATATTTCTTTTAGTGATAGTCCACAGTATTGTGTTTTGAGAAAACTAACCCATTCTACCTGGCTAAAATTAGCAAGCACTATCCAACATCATTATGCTGATTTTTCATTAAGTCTGACAGAGACAGCTCAACTAGTTGGAAGTTTTATCTGGTGCTGTCACTACCGTAGCAGAGTCTTCTGATGGGCAGCAGTTGTCTCCATGTATGGATTTGTGTATAGAATGGCACAGGGCAGCTGTGTCAGTGATACTGGTTCCTTGTATCTGGCAGGATGAATGACTTTCTGTGCTAGGCATTCTCTGGACTTGAGGTTGTTATTCATTCATTTGTCAGCACTGCTTTCCAGACCAAGCTCTTGGCATTGCACTGCCAATGCCTTGTATATCTGGTGCAAAACTAGAAGGTTGGATCAATGGGGATGCACTTTCTGTCCCATCTTGTGGTACAAGGTTCCCTTGCTTTCTCTGGATACATCAGTGTAGTGGGGCTGAGCAGCTATGGGGACTCTGAGCTTCAGTTCTTCTCTTAGGTCCTACACACCAGTGGAGTGCATGGAGTTCAGCATGACCTCTCACAGCCACCATACTTTCCTTTCGTAAGAACTCAGAGTGACTGCCTGAGAAACTCAAAGTCCAGTAGATTATGCTTTCTCTGTTGTTTTTATGGTTCCCTCTAGGGCAGGGTTGCTAAATACAAAACAAGATACCTAGTCTAGTTTACATTCCAGATAAACAAAATAATTGTTTCAGTATATATTTGCGTGATGATACCATTCCCTTCCAGGTATCAGTTGTTACTGCCTGGCCATATCTCTCTGAAACATTATTATTATTATTATTATTATTATTATTATTAATATATTAATATTAATTTAATATTAATATTAATTATTATTATTATTATTATTATTATTATTGTAAATATTTCAGTGTAAGTTGCAGATATCACAATGCTTTGTCCCTAGATCCTCCAGTATGCTTCTGTTAAGGCTAAACCATTTTCTGAGCTGGAGAAATGGCTCGGTGGTTAAGAGTACTGGCTGTTCTTTTAGAGGACCTGGCTTTGATTCCCAGCATCCACATGGTGGCTCACAACCATCTGTATCTCCAGTCCCACTGAATCCAATGTCCTTGTCTGACCTTCTTAAGTACCAGAGAGGCATGCAGTATAACAGATACACATGTAGGAAAAACATCAGTACAAATACAATTTTTAAAAATTAAAAAAAATTTCAAAGGTTACATTATTTTCTATGAAGCTTGTATAATATCTGGGACATAATTATACTTAAGAAATTGTTTCCGGCCGGGCATTGGTGGCGCACACCTTTAATCTCAGCACTCTGGAGGCAGAGGCAGGCGGATCGCTGTGAGTTCGAGGCCAGCCTGGTCTCCAGAGTGAGTGCCAGGATAGGCTCCAAAGCTACACAGAGAAACCCTGTCTCGAAAAACAAACAAACAAAAAAGACAACAACAACAAAAAGAAATTGTTTCCATGAAACTCAATTGCATTTGCTAAATCTGGTTATTCCACCAGAATGTGAGGTAGGCAAACACTGGCTTTGCCACATTGTAGCCCTGGGCTTGTCCAGGCTTGATTTAATGTACTAGCTTTGTAACTTGGGAACATCTGTGCTACTGTGCCCTTGTCTACAAAGTGTAGTTTCTTTTTGCTGCTTGACTCTGACACAAATCAGAAAACTGGACATTTTTATCTTGTAGGACTTACACTAAATCTTAGAAGCAATGAGGCCCCTAACACAGCCCCAGACTCTGGCAGGGGCACAGTAGTAGACAGCTGGCAGTGGTGGCTGTGCTGAGAGCTGAACTCAGGAAAGGATAAAAATAAAGGTGAAACTGTTTTAGAAACGTTGGCAGCTGCATTTCCAACTTCCCTCTGCTCTCTCATTCCCCCTTGGTCTCTCTCTCTCTCTCCCTCCCTCCCCCCTCTCTCCCCCCCCCCCCCCCCCACACACACACACAGACACACACACACACACACACACACACACACACACACACACACACACACAGATACACACACAGACACAGACAGACACACACAGATACACATACATCTACAGACAGACACACACAGAGAGACACATACACATACATACATAGACAGACAGACAGACACACACACACACACACACACACACACACACACACACACACAAGGCCCAGGGTCTGTTCTGGGATTTACAGAGGGCTCCTTGACAAGTATGCAGCTATGTGAGACTAAGGAAAGACACATGAACAGTGCAGAAAATGGGGGAAGATTTAAATGCAATAAAAGAAGATAGGACAGTGTGTTTGGGTGGCTTCAGTTCTCTGTTTTAGCCAGGCTGGCCGTAGGGAGAACACTAGGGTGTACCAGAGTCTGCTACCATCTGACCCAGGAAAGCTGGCAAGGACTGTTTCAATAGTTTCCAATTGCCTTGTTTTTGTTTTGTTTTGTTTTGACTATACATGAGTCTTTATAAGCCACAGTTACTTGAGGGGGATGAACCGGGAAGAGTGGGTGGCACCGATGTCAGGCCAGCCATGCTTCACGGCTTGTAGGTAATGGAGAACTCGCCCAGGTAGTGGACGATCATCTCTGGTTTGGTCTCCACCTGGTTGAAGGTCTTGCTGTTGTACACGCCCACCATGCTGCCCACCATCTCCGGCAGGATGATCATGTCCTAAAAATATGGAACGCTTCACAAATTTGCGTGTCATCCTTGTGCAGGGGCCATGCTAATCTTCTCTGTATTGTATCGTTCCAATTTTAGTATATGTGCTGCCGAAGGGAGCACCCAATTGCCTTTTTTAAGGAGACAAGTCTTGTAAATGTTTATTTTTATCCCGTAAGTCAGAGACATGTTTATAAATGCCCAAGTAAGCTGGCTTGCCCCTTTCTGGATGGAGTTCTTCCCCCTTTCTTTCTGGAAACCCCCACTTTCCTTTGTACTTTCGGTTGCCTGAGATTCATAAAACCAAGCAGGATAAGCCCAGCTGCTTACCCTTCTGTTCCGTTCTCACAGGTGGAGTCTCTGGGGTCTGTAACTTGTGGATGATCTTCTTTAACAGGTGAATGAGATAGATCCGGGGTCCTTTCTCTCTCACATTCTCCACACACCTTGGTGCTGGGCCACACATAGCTGGGCTCCAGGTGAGACCCCCCTGCTCACTGATTCTGTCACTCCTAAGCACCCTGCTTTGCCCAACACTGGTCTCTACCCTTGTACACTCCTCCTAGGAAAGCAAACTCTCTGCCTAACCCTTGAGACCCCACAAACATCACTACTAGCTTTTGCTGTTTGCAATAGTCCTTTCTATCCTTACAATAATGTTTTCATTACGGTCCTGACCCAAGTCAGATTTGTATTGTCTATCCCCTTCTCCAGCCCCACCGCCAACCCACCCTCATCCTTTGCAGGGAATTGAACTTAAGGCCTTCCACATGCTAGGCAAGGCAAAGGCTGCCATTGGGCTATATCCTCAGCCCCAGATTTATGTGTGTGTTTTGTTTTGTAGGTTTATGTAGTTTTATGTTTATGAGTATTTTGTCTGCATATGGATGTGTACCATGTGTGCATGCCTGGTGCTCACAGAGTCCAGAAGATCTCCTGGAACTGGAGTTACAGACTATTGTGAGCTTTCACGTGGGTGCTGGGAACTGAACCTGGGTCCTTTGGAAGAGCAACAGTGCACTTAACCACTGAGCCATATTTCTGGCTCCTCTACCTCTTTCCGTTTAACCCTCTTGACCACTGTGCTACACTGCCTATGTTGAACTGACATGTGAAATTTCTGGAGTGCATTTCTGTACTGTTTGTGTTTTGTTTTGCTTTTGTCTTGGAGATAGGCTCTCACTCTGTAGCCAGGCTAGCCTCAAACTTGAGACAATCTTCTTGTTCCACCCACCTCAGTACTTGGCTTATAGGCATGGGCCACGGGCCACAACACACAGATGCAGCCCTTTCTGTTTTTGTTTTTTAAATAAGATTAACTAATCTATTTTATTTTGTGTGTGGGGTGTGTGTGCCTGTATGGGCATTGGTGTGTGTGTGTGTGTGTGTGTGTGTGTGTGCGCGCGTGCGCGTGAGAGCATGTACACATGCCTATGTGCCCACCTGCAGGAGCTACAGTAGGACAAAGAAGCTACCAGGTGTCCTGTTTTTTCACTCTCTGATTTATTTCCATGAGATAGTCTCTCATTGAGCTGGAAGCTCACCATTTCATGTAGGCTGGGCCATCCAGCTCCTAGGATTGGACTGCGGGTGCTGGGGTGACAGGCACGTGCACCCATGCCTATGTTTTTGTTTTGTTTTTTTTCACCGTGGGACCTGGGGTTAAAAGTCAGGTCCTCATTCTTGCACAACAAGCCCTCTTAGTCACTGAGCTATCTCGGCAGACTCCCTTCCTCTATTCTTGGAAAAAGAGGGTGAGTCTGCATTGCTGAGGTCAGCTGACTCCTACACAGAGGCAGCCCTTACAGCCCCCACTCACACTGGGTGGGCTCTGTGAGGGAAAAGAAGGCCTGGTTAACCCCCACACTGAGTTTACCTTGTAGCTTTGAACTTGAACTTGTTCCACTGACCTTCAAGATACAGCAAACATTTAGTAGATTCAACTTCTTCACTAAACAAGCAGAGGAAAGACTACACACAGTAGGGATAAAAACACATGTAGCTCACATTCCTGGTAGGTTTTAGGTGTTGTATTCATACTTTCTAATAGATAGACTTCTAAAAATGTACATGAAAGATGTATAGGAAGAAACGCTCTTAAATGTATGCTGAGTTGAAATGGAAAAGTGGAGAGAAGTTGCTGGGTCCCAGATCCAGCTATGACATAGGTGGAGAAAGGCTTTTACCCTTCAGCTGTCCAAGCACACCTAGTCTGCCCCCAACTAGTTTAGGCTTGAGTTTAGGAGATAAGATAAAGACAGGCCTTAGCCAGCCATGTAATCCCAGGACTTGAGAAACTAAAGCCAGTCTGGACTTACTCAAGGCTAGCCTGGGTAACTTAGTGTTTGAAAATAACAACAATAATTAAGACTTTTTTTTTCTTAAGGGCTGGAGATATAGCTTAGTGGTAGAATGCTTACCCAGTATCTATGGGGTGCTGAATTCAATTCCTAATACCTCACGGGAGAGAGAAAAATAAATCACAAATCTCTTAGATAACTTCCTGCATCATGGGTAAGGCTGACCGAGTTCCTGCCTGGGGTGGGAGTGGTGGAGGATGTGGGAAAAAATAAAAAGAGTCACCAAGCAGTCTTCAGCTGGACCTTGGAAGGTGTCACATCGTTTATTTTTGAATGTTTCTAGTTCATCAATCTGATCTTGGCTCACTGACTTAGCAAGGTATCTGATAGAAATGGTGGTTGGACATTCTTTCATAGCATTTTCTGTGTCTTAGAGGATGTCTCATTTATGCCTGAGCGACCAAAGGTCACTTATTCTCATCACTTTGGCCAGGAGTAAATCTCAGCAGGTACTTCTGTCCACTGCAAGAAGATGCTTCTCTGACTACAGCTGATAGCAGCCTTATTTTCCAGGCATAGGCATAATTATTTAGAAGGCAACTGGACAAACATATCATGTCCATTAGCTAAAAACCACTGGTAGCTTCTGCAGTAGGACCCATGCCAGGCATGAGCTTTTGACAGATTTATAGTGCCAGATATGAATTCCCTCCTGTGGAGCAGGCCTCACATCCAAGCAGAAAGGAGTTGGTTACTCCCACAACAGACTTGCCACTATTGCACCAACAGGTGCATCTTACCTGGCCAGGCAATAGCATAGCATTCAGGGGCCACAGCTGAGTAATGCCGCTGGTGGTAGGTAATTCTTCCTCTGAAGTCTTCATTGCACCTTCTGGCACCATCAGAGCCAGTTAGCAGTGGGGAAGCTTCTGGCTCCATTCCGTCTTGATTTCTTCATCCTGTGACCAAAGCACATACCGCTGGTGGTAGGTAATTCTTCCTCTGAAGTCTTCATTGCACCTTCTGGACCATCAGAGCCAGTTAGCAGTGGGGAAGCTTCCGGCTCCATTCCGTCTTGATTTCTTCATCCTGTGACCAAAGCACATGTTATCATTTAGTTCTGGTGGGCAACCAAGGGCAGTGGCAATTGCCTGAATTGCCTTGGGACCCTCAGAGACCTCCTAGACCAACAACTCATAGGGAGGTAGACCACCCTGACCCTGGGATTCTCATTTAATAACCTCTGGCTTCAGGGAGCAGCTTTATCTACCCGTGCAGGGTGCTTCTTTTCCTAGATTTTTGTTCTTAAGGACACCAGTTATATTGGGTCCCACTTTCATCACCTCATCTAACTTCAGTAACCTCTCTAAAAACCCACTCTTCAAATATGCTCACATGCTGAGGTATTGGGGGTTAGGACTTAGAAACATGAATCTGGATATTAGTAGTCCATGACACCTTGGTAAAATAGGAAGTAAAGGATTGTGGAGCAAAGAGGTTGTTTATAATAATCACCAACCTCAGTTTGAGTCTGAGCCAGAGACAGCCTTCTCTAGTTTATAGATTTGTGAGGGATTGGCTGGAAGATGGATGCAAACACTCCTGATGGTGGAGTTGCTGCATGGGTGTGGTTCCGTGACAGTGGAGGGACCAAAGCTGGTACTGACCTGTCTGTCGGATTCTTTCTCTGAGGCCAGCAGGGAGTGTATTGTGCTTTTCAGTGACTTCTAAAACTAAACTCATTGCTATCAGTGAATCTTCAAAATACCATCCAGGAGCCCTGTCTTCACTATCTTTCCATTAGAGCAAATATTTCTGATGACCTGTGGCTTAATAGGGCAGTGGGCCCTATGAAGATATGGCCCAGTTCTTAAGAGATTGCAAGTGGACTTTCCCCCCTTTTTTTACCTGCTTTTTTTTTTTTTTTTTTTTTTTCAGACCGGACTCCTGCTGAGGTCTACACAGGACAGACATAATCCCTGAGGAATGTCTGCCTGTCCTTCCTACCTCAATCCCCTCCAGGCTCACCTACCCGAAGCTGAGAACTATTGTGTAGGATGGAGTGGTTATATCTCAGAGTGGATCATTTGGTAGGAACCAGTTAATACTACAATAATTTATCAATGTACTGAAGCACCCGGCAGGGTCAGATCTGAGACAATGATGGGCAGAACCATGCTGTTTCTCCCTCTGTTCACCAGGCAGAATGGTGCATGTCTGTAATCACAAGAGGACTGGCTCAAAGGGCCAGCCTGGGCTACATAATGAATTTCAGGCCAGTGTAGACTTCAAAGTGAAACCCTGCCTTAAAGCCAAGCTAAACTCCACACTTGTAAAGCTCTCAAGACCCCAAAGATGAACTCTGAGTCACAAAGCTCCTTTATAAGTTCCTCTCAATACATTAATAACATTTTCTCTGCTTTTCCTGTTTCTCTTCTCTTCAGTTTATGGATCGGGACAGGTTGCCATATGAGCTTCTTGTGGTTTCTGGAACCTGGGCATTTGCACCCAAACCCCAGTTACAGGATAGGGAATGCCCCCTTTTTCTGCCCCATGTTCAGAAGCAGTGGCCTTACCTTTTTGTAAACCTGTTTTGTTTTTTCTCCCCAGAGTATGGTGTTAAGAAATGGTACTGAGGTCTTTGACTCCTGGGAGAAACCCCCTCTACCTGTGTACACCCAGTTCTACTTCTTCAATGTCACCAATCCAGAGGAGATCCTCCAAGGAGAAATTCCCATACTTCAAGAAGTGGGACCATACACATACAGGTGAGTGGGGGATACTTGAGGCTGTGCCAGCACAGCCCTGCTAGGACACGAGCCAGTGGGGACACATTTGGTTCTCTTCTGTCTGTGGCATTGCTGGTGTCTGGGGAGATTCCTCCACAGAGCTCTGTGGGCAGGGTCAAGTTGCTGCATGTCCTACTCAGGAATGCTACCCTGTCCTGTCCTTCATGGCTGCTCTCCACCTCTGGCCTTTTAGGGATCCCTCCGATTTCTTTCACACATACTTAGTTTTAAATCAGTTTCTAGAATTTACTGTGATTTGAAGTTTTTTGAAGATTTATTTATTTATTATGTGTACAGTGTTCTGCCTACATGTCTATCTGTAGGACAGAAGGGGGCACCAGGTCTCATTACAGATGGTTGTGAGCCATCATATGTTTACTGGGAATTGAACTCAGGACCTCTGGAAGAGCAGCCAGTGCTCTTAACTCCTGAGCCATCTCTCCAGCCTGAGGGTTGTTTTTTTCTTTTTTTTTCCCCTGTTTTTCATTCATTCAATTTTCTTTTTCTTTCTAATGAGACGAGATCTTTTGTAGCTCAGGGTGGCTTGAATTTGCTATGAATCAAAGGATGACCTTGAACTTCTTGATCCTCCTGCCTCCTAAACTGGGATTATAGCCTTTATTTCATGTTGGATATGAACCCAAGACTTCAAAACTCCTGAACAAAACTTCAGAAAGCAAGTGGGGTTTGGTGGCACACACTTATAACATCTACATGCTCTGAGGCAGGAGGATTATGAATTTAAGACCTAATCTTAAACAAATAAAACAACAAAACCAACAAACCTAAATCAACTAACAAACAAAATCGAACCAAAGCTATAGATTATAACCATAACTCAAAGAAAACCCAGCCTTCTGCTAAAACGACTCAGGCCACTGTATCTATTGGACAGATTTGCTTTTTAGATGTGGTCACGTGAATACCTCCTAGAGGTGAACCGTTACAGCCCTCTAGATACCGGTTTTGTAATGGTCTTACCCGATTGTTCTTGGGGAAAGCTCAGAAACATCTTACAGGTGCTTTTGACACTAAGGGCTCTCTAGATAAATTTCACAGTGCTCTCCTCTAGCCTGTCACTCACAGGCATTGTCCTTCACATATAAATATGTGCAACAAATTACAGCAATGTTAGTGTGCTCTGCATGTGCCCTAGTGTAGCTGTTTGAGTCATTGTTCCCTAACCTTTAAAATTACAGCAATTATCAAGCCAGCTGCTCCATCTTGCTTCAAGTACCAATAAAGAAGCCTGTATACTATTTCTAAACCATGGGGTCTTTTTTGTTTGGTGTGTGTGTGCACACACACGTGTGAAGGTTCCAGGACAAACTTGGTGCCAGTCTCTGTCTTTTACAGACAGGGACTCTTATTTGCCACTTATACACAAACTAGCTGGCCTCCAAGCTTCAGGAGCATCTCCTGTCTCCATCTCCCATCTCATTGTATGAGCACTGGAGTACAAGCCTGTTACAGGCTCTGTTTTTACCTGAGTTTAAGGATGCCAACTTAGAATTCCATTCTTTCTTGGCAAATGCATTACAATTAAGTCACCTTCCTCGTTTTGTTTGTTGTTTGTTTGAGACAAGTGCTTACTATATAGTCTAAGCTAGCCTCAAACTTCCAAACTTTCTGCTTTAGCCTTCCTAAGGCTAGAATTATAGGTGTGTACCACTGGCCTGATATTAAAGCTCAGATTGTTTTTTAAAGATTTTATTTATTATGTATACAATGTTCTGCCTGCATGTATGCCTGCAGACAGGAAGAGGGCACCAGATCTCATTATAGATGGTTGTGAGCCACCATGTGGTTGCTGGGTATTGAACTCAGGACCTCTGGAAGAGCAGTCAGTGCTCTTAACCTCTGAGCCTTCTCTCTAGCCCAAAGCTCAGATTTTTTAATCGATGATAACACTTTTGATTTTTTTTGTGAATTTCATTTATGATTTTTTTATTTGCATTATTCCCCCCAACTCCTACTGTGCCCCTCACTCCTTCTCAAATTCATGTCCTCTTTAATTATTGCTGACACACACACACACACACACACACACACACACACACACATATGAATACAACCTGCTGAGTTCATTTAGTGTTGCTCATATGCGTGTGTGTTTTAGGGTTGACCAGTTGGCACTGGACCACCTATCAGGGGTTCTCCTCTGGAAGAGACTGATTCCTCCTCCCTCAACAATCCATTAATTACCTGAATGTCCTCATCTAATGTTGAGACCCTCTGAATTTTGCCCATCTATGTTGGCATGGCAAATGTGTTGTCATTTTTTAGGTCTTGTTGAGATTTCATGAACACAGCTTCCCCGTCATATATAGAAGACACTAACTTGCAGCAAATACCCTGGTCCTCTGGCTATTACAAGCTTTCTACCCCCTCTTCTGCTGTTTTTCTGAGCCTTTGGTTGTGGGGGTTGTGCTGTAGATGTATCAGCTGGGGTTGATCAGTTGTTCTATGTGTTTTGACCAATCGTGACTTTCTGTGATGGTCTCTGCTGCAAAACAGATGAAGGATGAGAGTTGCACTTATTTGTGGTAGAAGGATAAGTGTAGAGTGCAGTTAGGAATTATGCTGGTTTAGGAAAGTGGCAGTAGTAGGTTCTCCTCTAGGGTCATCGACCTTACCAGCCACTGGTAGTGGATTAGGCTTACCGTGGAAGACATGAATTTCTTCCTGTTGGACTACCTGTTACGTTCAAATGGCTGTTGGTTACCCCCAAATATATTTCATCATTGAATAGAAAAAGAAAAGGAGGGAGCTAGAGAGATGGTTCAGCGGTTAAGAGCACTGGCTGTTCTTCCAAAGGTCCTGAGTTCAATTCCCAGCAACCATATGGTGGCTCACTACCATCCATAATGAGATCTGGTGCCCTTTTCTGGCCTGCAGGTTACATACAGGCAGAATACTTTACACATGATAAATAATCTTAGAAAGAAAGAAAGAAAGAAAGAAAGGAAAGGAAAGGAAAGGAAAGGAAAGGAAAGGAAAGGACATGACTGCTCCTAGGTATGGTGGAGGAGAAAGTTTATTGTAGATAAAAGGAGAGCATAGGCAGAGGCAGGGACATCTGGGAGAGTTTAGAGTGAACATGACCAGGCTGAGCTGGGCCATATAGGGCGATGGGGGAGGGGCAGAGGGAGGGGAGAGGGGCACCCGGTACAACAGCCAGCAGGCCAAAGCTACAAAAGGAACAGGTAACCAAAATGTCTGGATTATATAGGAAAGAGCCTCCGGGGAGAAGGGTGGCCCAGAAGCTGGGCTGGAGAGGTGGGGTGTGTCAGCCATACCCTGTAACTGGTAGGGAATGAGGGATGCTGGGTGGAACTGGCAGCCAGGTCTGCTTTGGTATGTTAAATAGGCACCTTAGCAATTTGTCTTGGGTTTGAAACTTAACAAGCATGATGTCTTCGTTCAGAATTATCAATATTTCATGTCTTTCAAGTACTGTGTACATTTTTTTTTTTTTTGTGACTCCAGCCCTTACATGTTTCATTGTATTTTAAGCAGTGTGTCCTGCATTGGCCCCTTGTCACTACCCCACCTGTGAGAAATTGAGTTCCAGCCTGCTAGGCAAAGCTTTGCCCCTGAGATTCTCCCCTTCCCCCTCTAGCCACATTTTGAGTGTTTGCTGTTAGGACTGACAAGCAGGGAAAATCTCAACAGAGACAGTCTACAACTTTGGAATGTTAACATGTCGGTGTGCAGTCCTCAGCCGGCTTGACACTGCTCAGGTAAAGTGACCCAGAAGAGCAGGTGAGGGCCTTAGACAAGGCCACAAAGCTAAGGGGTTAACACCACTAAATATAATGAACTATTCTTCCTATGCCCAAGTTAACAAACTCTAAAAGATAAATGCCCTATCTTCCTGGCCTAAAGGTAACAAAAGCTAGAAGGTAATGTCAGGATGATAAATTCAGGTAGCTATCTTCTATGATAAGCACCCATCTGAGTCTTGGCCCTCATGTAACCGAGTGCAAAATTATAGCTAACAGCAATAGAACACATTTGTTTATTCGTGTTGGACTGGGAAGTAAAGTAAAATTCTTACACCCACTCATGTTATGCACTATGATGGTTTAAAAGAAAATGGCCCTCAAAGGAGGTGGCACTATTAGGAGGTGTGACTTTGTTGGAGTAGATGTGACCTTTTTGGAGGAAGTGTGTCACTGTGGGGGTGGACCTTGAGGTCTCCTATGTTCAAGCTACTCCTAGTGTCTCAGACCATTTCCTGTTGCCTGTGAGTCAAGATATAGCACTCTCAGCTCCAGCACCATGTCTGCCTGCATGCTGCCTTGCTTCCTGCCATGATGATAATGGACTAGACCTCTGAAGTGTAAGTGAGCCACCACAATGAAATGTTTTCCTTTATAAAAGTGGCCAAGGTCATGGTGCCTCTTCACAACAACAGAAACCCTAAGACAAGTGCAGAACACAATTTTCAAGCTCATCCCAGTTAAGGCTTCAGTGAACAGACTTGAGATACAACTCAAGGCAGATGGTTCTTTCCAGAGTCACCCCCTACCCTGCAGCACCCCGCCTCCCGTTCATCCCCTTTGCAATGCTATCCAAACTCCCTTGGACTGGATGCGGTGGTTCACCCTTGTGATCACAACACATGGGAAACTGAGACAGGAGGACAGTTGTTAAGTTCAAGCCAATCTGTGATGCATAGCAGGACCCTGTCTCAAAAAACTAGACAACAAAAGGATTAAATAGCGGCTTGAGGGATGGCTCAGTGTCTAAATGCATTTGTTGCTCTTGCAGAGGACCCATGTTTGATTCCCAGCATCCACATGGGGGCTCACAACCATCTGTAACCCTACTCCTAAGGGGATCCAGCATCCTCTTCTGACCCAACAAGCACGGCTCATGGTACACAGACACACATGCAGACAAAACACAGACACATAAAATAAAAATAAATGAAGTATTTGAAAAAAAAATCTAAAGGGCTAAATACAAGCCCC